ACTACAATAAACGAACAACAAGATGGCAGCCTCCAAGCCGACCGTTACACTATATTTTTTCAATCCTTTGCACAAATAAATTCCCATGGGACATTATCCAAGTACTGAGAATTGAGAGTAACATTATTTTCGTGAAAAACAAAAAGCATCTAAACGACTAATGCAACATAGTTGCATTGGTAATCTACATGAGAGAGAGTGTTTTGAGTGCTCCTTGAAAGACTACGCCTTTTTGGATACTGATTTAGTAACTAAAATAGCGTGATATTTGTGATGAAGGGGAATGATGCAATAAATACTTGTGTGCATGGGAGTGGCAGAACAGTGGCATGGTTATTTTGTGTGTATGTGTGTGTGTGTCCGTGCGGAATCGTGAATGCATATGCCACCTGTTTGTGAAAGTAACATGTCACGTTCAGGTCCGTACTGTTGAAAAAAATGACCATTTTGACTTCAGGAATCGGCAGGATTGCGACTCCAATGTCTCGTGACTAGACGCATCAGCTTTTGAGGTGAAAAATTGAGTGGTACTTCCTAATTTAATGACACGTTTCATTCCTGTATTTTGAATCACCAAACTGAAGAATCTTCAAATTTCTGATGCTCCATTTCCGTCATAAAAGGTTCTGGTTAAATTGATTTATACTATCTTCTTACAGTGAACATGTTTGTGTTCGATCAACTTTTGAGGACAGCATCAGTTTGCTGGATTCCACTTGTTTCTCTCGTAACGACTTCTTTTGAATATGGGCTACTTGAAAATAGTCAGCAGCAGTTATTTCATTCCATAATGGTAGATTAGTTATGTAGCCGTATTGCTGGCAGCTGGTTATAACCGATATTTCAACGCAAGCACGATTGACTTGTAAAGGACTATCAATAGTCGATATCCATCAAGTAAATAATGATTGTGGCAATACCAATAGATCTATGAGGAAATTATCACCATTGTTCCAAGAAAAACTTTCCGATTCTTGTCTTATCCGTGAGTAACTTAACAATCCTGATAATCTTTAACACCATCCCACATAGTTCAAGCAAATGAGCATTATTTGAACTGAATATACTTTCTGACTCGTCAATATCAGTCACGCCTTCTCCTCGTCTAGTAATTGGACGTGGTACGGTGATATAGAGATTTTGTTTTCAGAATTATTCAAAAACTGTTCCTACTAGCTTCTTGCACGTTTCATGTGTCGGAAGTTCCATAATGAACAGTAGATTTCACGTTCAAATTCCGATGCCCAAATCATCCACATATTCGAGTTTGAGCTGAACCTCCCGTGACTAATACGATGTGCACCGCAGTCTGAATATTAATATGAGTATTATTTCTTTATCACTGCAAAATAGAATGTTGATCTTGAAAAGCGGGAGTCAATTTATCTCGCTTTGGCATCGATTTTTAGCACCTACTTAGTTTACCTATATGTGGTGTATGCATGAAAAACGACACTCAAGATAACAAGTAGCTTATATGTTTACCAAGACTGATTGGTACTTATTATAATACCGAACGTGATGTTATATTGTTCGTAACACGGCGTTGTCGGTGGAAAATCGTGAGTCGATTTTTCTGTTGCCTTGGTTGACCTTCCTGAATACTGGATATTCTAATATGATGTTGTGGAAAATTCACCTGCATTTTCCACATCGATATATCAGTCCCCGCGAACCGGAATGGCGGTGTCCAACGGTTTCATATGAAAAATGCTAGTGTAATTTCTAATACATAAGATTCAGGCTCCTCGGGTCACATATGATGAAATTATTCTACCATAAGTTCAAAAGGTATAATCAGTAGGAAAACAGGATTTTTTCCCAATTCAGTTGACTTGTCTGTGTGCAACTCCCCTGTCCAATAATTTACAGGTGACTCAATTCGTCGCACTTCTCAGTACACGGATGAAAACGTAATAAATACCATTATTATTTTGGCGCGTAATTATACTTTCTTATTGCTGTTGTGGATTCTGGATTTTGCGTTAGCCCTCCCTTGTTGTATGCTTTGGTAATTGGGACGGTTTACCAAAGCACACCATTTTGGTAACATTTTTCATCCTGTCAGACGTTTGCTAATTAGACCAAGCTTGCCTAATTGAGGACAGGATTCAAAGGACCTATACCAAATGCATTGGTATGGTGTCTTACATTCTCAAGAAGGACTTTTTTAAATTTCGTCGCATTGTGTGCAATTCAGTCACTTCGGGAAATCTTTTGAAATTAGTTCTCTCAAGTGTGAAGTCTCCCTCAAATTCTTCGTACAACCGCATTTTTCTCCGGTTTTCCGACGAAAATACCACGTTGACAAGTTTGATGTTCTTACATGATGGCTAATATTTCGCGAAGGTACTCCGTTTTATTTATATGACTCATTTCATAACCCCTTAGTACTATGTTATTTTTGCCAATCTTATTCTTCGTCTTGGGTTACACTGCAAAATACATAGCTTATTGGAGTTTCAGTAATGAAAAGGCCGAGTGTACTGATGCTAATCATTCATCGATCCTTAATTTAATCTGTCAGAGCGAGCTTTTGCTCAATGATGTGAGCATGAAACGCCATATAGTACATGATGGCGAACCACATATTCATCCCTGATACGACATTCTCTGACGAAAGTTTCATGGTTCACGAGTAGGTTTACTTGAAATGTTTGTCCCACTCAGGTACCTTCAAAGACATCATATAAGTTTATTCAATGTCACGGTCAATATCTACATCAAACGGAAAATCATCGTTACTGTTGTTCTAAAATCATAGTAGAAAATATCCTCATTCCGTTAATTTTGACAATCAGTTTCACCTTCGTGGCTACGAATGGTTTCAACGTTTCCATCATCGTCATCGATATTATCTGATTCATCATCAAGTACATTTTTGGCATCAGCTTTTGCGTCGCCGTCATTACCTCCGCTCGATAAACCATTACATTGAAATATAGGGTAAAATACATCAAATGTCATCATTGATTTTATCATATTTTTATCTTTCTACTACTCTGCGATGAAATAAAACCTTGATCAGTCCTCTTCATGCCACGGGAAATATAATTACTGGAGTGTCCCATCATCATTTCCATTGTGTGGAATTTCCAAACCTGTAAAACTAATATCACACTGGTAACTCCAGCATATAAAGAACTGGGGCTTTGTCATGAAATTTGGGTGGATATGTGCCATCCCTAAAATCACGAGGAACCTTTCTCAGTTCACATTTATAATCGAGCATACGCACGAACCAATAAGTGATCTAACTTCATCTAGATTTCCGGTGTTACAAGCACGTTGGCAAACATTGAGCAACAGGTCGAAAGTGTTTTTAAAAGGGTTTCTTTTACACCAAGTCTATGGCTAGAGGGTTGTAACACTCCGACCAGAAATGTTCATTGGAGGCATGCTTTTGTGCAGTCTATGAATTAAGTCCGATGGTCGTCCGTTTCGGTCGAATTTAGTAGTATTTCGCATTTCACTACTAAGAGCATTTTCAGTAGCCGAAATCAATTCGGTGGCTGAAAATAGGGGGAAGTCCGATTAAGCTTGTCCGTGAAAGGAGGATAAATGACACAGTTGCTTGCTTTTCACTGCCGCTGACAACTTTCAATTAGATAAATTAGTGCATCGAGATGTTCGTACCGCCGTGGTGGTATGTGGTGTTTTTTGCATTTGTATTTACTTTAAAATCAATTGGTTTCGAACAGCATTGGACTCGGCAGCCATCCGATGGGTTGTTTTTTGGCGATGAATGCTGGAGCAAGAGCACAATGCAAATAACAAACTGAATGAACAAACCATAAGAGAGCCACAAACTAAAGAGCAGGCTGTGAATATATCGGAAGCATCCCGTAACTGACAAAACGAAGCTTTCGGACTATTAGATTTGACTCAGCGTGAAATTTAGCAATCACCAATCACTTGATTATTGTTTCCAACGCGTATCTTTTATGGTGTTCTCAAGAAGTTGGTTATGGACAGTTCGACGATGCCTAAACTTTCCTGACGTTGCCTAAACACTTGTTTCTATCCGTTGAGCCGGAGGAAGCGTGAGAGTAATTAAACAAAACGTTTCACCGGCATTATCAATAACTTTTCTCGCTCTATCTCGTTCCCTCAATTATTTTCTCTCTCTGTCTCCCCTGCATGGGGTTACCATCAACATCCCAGTTTCTCCGCTTAAGATACCTGGGTCTTCTGACTTCTCATACATCAGTGAGGCATGATTGTGAAACATATGAACGCTAGAAATGCATAGTTTAGTCGTTGGTGTCATTCACTCCACTATAACGGCTTTTACTTCTAGAGAACGTGAACTTGCTAATAAGGATAAAAGCACTCTCATTCCCTATGAAATGGAAGTAAAAAGATAAACGCAAAAGTATATCAATCTGTTAGTTTTGTTGTAAACGCTTGGAATCTAAATAAGAACGGATATATTTTATGTGCCTTCAAACTGTCAATATTGCTTTTCGGATAATGAGAACGCTTTTATTAAATTACCACTGAGAATCTGCTGAAATACTTCCTCAGTATTGACGGCTCAATGGTTTGAGTATTGTGCACAGAACAAGATCACAAATAGCAATTCACGCAATCATTTGTTATCTTTTCTGCGTGTGTCCAACATTGCGATTTAAGTAGATCGCCGCAATCGTGACCACCTTGGGATCGAAATAAACTGAAAGAATCTGCTTAGCCACACCCACATTAAATCGCCTTAGCCTGCTTTGATGTGTGTCTTAGGAATAAAAATAGCTGTTAATTGACGTCCAATTCCCAGAAAACTTGAATGGTGCATATTGGCCAATAGGATTGAGAACTGCAAATCAATCAATGAAAGAAAGCGGATCGTGTTTGGTGTGACGAACATGAGAATGGCGTGACAAACATTCTGAGCCAATAGAGTTGCACGCGCTGCAACACTGTGCACTATAAAAGTGCAAGAATACCTCTAGCAATATAGAAAAATGAAATATTTCATTTTCTTCATCCTTCTATTGTGCATGCTGTATTTACAGCAGGCGGGTGAGTCAACCTGGAAATTATTTTTGCATACCTGTTGACGAGGTTTGACAACCAGTATCCGTTCAAGTTCAACTAAGCACTACATTTCATTGCAAAACAGATAATGTCATTTACCTGCAACGATAACATCTGGAATCTTGGTCAGTTATTTTCATCATAATGGATAATATTTGAGTACAATTGAAAGTAGGCTTCATTTGAAATCAATACATCCGTTAAATTTCAAAAAATGTATCAACTGCATATTACCACATATTACCGAAATCGAAAGTTAACTCACAAAATCAGCATAAAATGGATTCTCAATGTTGATTGAAACAAAGAGTGGTTAAAATTCCTAAGTAGAAGGCAAGAAGATCACTACGATCCTCAGTGTATTATTTAGGAATAAAAAAGGCAAATGCTGACTTGTCAAATGAAAAAGGATGAGATTTACATAAAACTAAATGTTTACATGTTCGTAACAAGCATATAAATTCCTGAATAAAAATAGTTCGATGCAAAAAGGGTGCAGCGACTCGATGAAGGAAACAAAGATAATTAAAGAGGGAACAGTTGAAAGAAGAAACAAATGGAAAAATGTTTCATGAGTTATAAAAAGAATGTATGAGAAGATGACAGAAAAAAAGGAAAATATAGAGGAAAAAAACTAAAAATTCGCACCAATGAAAATTACACAAAACAGAAACGCAACGCAGAGAGGTAAGTTGAAAAGAAGGAGTAAGTTTCAATCAAAAAACTGATATTCGTAAAGTATTCACCTTACGGGAGATAACGCACAAATCCCATCATCCTCTATTCTCATCTCAATTTGATCAGTCTCTTAACTCACAACGAGCATTTCCTATTCGCATTGTTCTTCCTATATAATAACTAGAACGGTGATTTGGCAATTTGCTCGTCCATTGGTTTCTCACAACGTAACTGATAGAATATCTATCACATTTTACATTCGAATGGAGAATGAGGGAGAAGAATTTTATGCTCTGGAAAATTAGTCTCATGGTTGTTCTAATACAATTGATTTGGACACTCGAATGATTTGATCCAAGTGCATGCATTCCTCCCATTCCATTCCATCATTCATTCATTCATTCATTCATTCATTCGTTCATTCATTCATTCGAATTCAAATTCAAACTGATCGAAGTGCATGCAATGTGCAGTGCAATTCTATCTGCAACAGCACATATAACTCGCATCTGTGAGACAAGACAAATTGACTCCACCTCATTTCTTTCCACATTTTCTTCATTTTGCACAGGTTGACGACAAAGAGAAGAAGGTGAGATGATCTGCATCAGTATGTTTGTTCTCATTCAAATAGCAATTTGCCCATCATCATTATTCACCTGACCGACGATCTCGCACAATTCCCATCATCCTCTCTTCTCATCGCAATTTGATCAGTCTCTTAACCCACAACGAGCATTTCCTATTCGCATTGTTCTTCCTATATAATAATTAGAACGGTGATTTGGCAATTTGCTCGTCCATTGGTTTCTCACAACCTAACTGATAGAATATCTATCACATTTTACATTTGAATGGAGAATGAGGGAGAAGAATTTTAGGCTCTGGAAAATTAGTCTCATGGTTGTTCTAATACAATTGATTTGGACACTCGAATGATTTGATCCAAGTGCATGCATTCCTCCCATTCCATTCAATCATTCATTCATTCATTCATTCATTCGTTCATTCATTCATTCGAATTCAAATTCAAACTGATCGAAGTGCATGCAATGTGCAGTGCAATTCTATCTGCAACAGCACATATAACTCGCATCTGTGAGACAAGACAAATTGACTCCACCTCATTTCCTCCCAAATTTACTTCATTTTGCACAGGTTGATGACAAAGAGAAGAAGGTGAGATGATCTGCATCAGTTTGTTTGTTCTCATTCAAATAGCAATTTGCCCATCATCATTATTCACCTGACCGACGATCTCGCACAATTCCCATCATCCTCTCTTCTCATCCCAATTTGATCAGTCCCCTTACCCACAACGAGCATTTCCTATTCGCATTGTTCTTCCTATATAATAATTAGAACGGTGATTTGGCAATTTGCTCGTCCATTGGTTTCTCACAACCTAACTGATAGAATATCTATCACATTTTACATTCGAATGGAGAATGAGGGAGAAGAATTTCATGCTATGAAAAATTAGTCTCATGGTTGTTCTAATTCAATTGATTTGGACACTCGAATGATTTGATCCAAGTGCATGCATTCCTCCCATTCCATTCCATCATTCATTCATTCATTCATTCATTCATTCATTCATTCGAATTCAAATTCAAACTGATCGAAGTGCATGCAATGTGCAGTGCAATTCTATCTGCAACAGCACATATAACTCGCATCTGTGAGACAAGACAAATTGACTCCACCTCATTTCTTTCCACATTTTCTTCTGTTTGCACAGGTTGACGACAAAGAGAAGAAGGTGAGATGATCTGCATCAGTATGTTTGTTCTCATTCAAATAGCAATTTGCCCATCATCATTATTCACCTGACCGACGATCTCGCACAATTCCCATCATCCTCTCTTCTCATCGCAATTTGATCAGTCTCTTAACCCACAACGAGCATTTCCTATTCGCATTGTTCTTCCTATATAATAATTAGAACGGTGATTTGGCAATTTGCTCGTCCATTGGTTTCTCACAACCTAACTGATAGAATATCTATCACATTTTACATTCGAATGGAGAATGAGGGAGAAGAATTTCATGCTATGAAAAAAAAGTCTCCTGGTTGTTCTAATACAATTGATTTGGACACTCGAATGATTTGATCCAAGTGCATGCATTCCTCCCATTCCATTGCATCATTCATTCATTCATTCATTCATTCATTCATTCATTCATTCGAATTCAAATTCAAACTGATCGAAGTGCATGCAATGTGCAGTGCAATTCTATCTGCAACAGCACATATAACTCGCATCTGTGAGACAAGACAAATTGACTCCACCTCATTTCTTTCCACATTTTCTTCTTTTTGCACAGGTTGACGACAAAGAGAAGAAGGTGAGATGATCTGCATCAGTATGTTTGTTCTCATTCAAATAGCAATTTGCCCATCATCATTATTCACCTGACCGACGATCTCGCACAATTCCCATCATCCTCTCTTCTCATCGCAATTTGATCAGTCTCTTAACCCACAACGAGCATTTCCTATTCGCATTGTTCTTCCTATATAATAATTAGAACGGTGATTTGGCAATTTGCTCGTCCATTGGTTTCTCACAACCTAACTGATAGAATATCTATCACATTTTACATTCGAATGGAGAACGAGGGAGAAGAATTTCATGCTATGAAAAATTAGTCTCATGGTTGTTCTAATTCAATTGATTTGGACACTCGAATGATTTGATCCAAGTGCATGCATTCCTCCCATTCCATTCCATCATTCATTCATTCATTCATTCATTCGTTCATTCATTCATTCGAATTCAAATTCAAACTGATCGAAGTGCATGCAATGTGCAGTGCAATTCTATCTGCAACAGCACATATAACTCGCATCTGTGAGACAAGACAAATTGACTCCACCTCATTTCTTTCCAAATTTTCTTCATTTTGCACAGGTTGACGACAAAGAGAAGAAGGTGAGATGATCTGCATCAGTATGTTTGTTCTCATTCAAATAGCAATTTGCCCATCATCATTATTCAACTGACCGACGATCTCGCACAATTCCCATCATCCTCTATTCTCATCCCAATTTGATCAGTCTCTTAACCCACAACGAGCATTTCCGATTCGCATTGTTCTTCCTATATAATAATTAGAACGGTGATTTGGCAATTTGCTCGTCCATTGGTTTCTCACAACCTAACTGATAGAATATCTATCACATTTTACATTCGAATGGAGAACGAGGGAGAAGAATTTCATGCTATGAAAAATTAGTCTCATGGTTGTTCTAATTCAATTGATTTGGACACTCGAATGATTTGATCCAAGTGCATGCATTCCTCCCATTCCATTCCATCATTCATTCATTCATTCATTCATTCATTCATTCATTCATTCGTTCATTCATTCATTCGAATTCAAATTCAAACTGATCGAAGTGCATGCAAAGTGCAGTGCAATTCTATCTGCAACAGCACATATAACTCGCATCTGTGAGACAAGACAAATTGACTCCACCTCATTTCTTTCCACATTTTCTTCTTTTTGCACAGGTTGACGACAAAGAAAAGAAGGTGAGATGATCTGCATCAGTATGTTTATTCTCATTCAAATAGCAATTTGCCCAACATCATTATTCAACTGACCGACGATCTCGCACAATTCCCATCATCCTCTCTTCTCATCCCAATTTGATCAGTCTCTTAACTCACAACGAGCATTTCCTATTCCCATTGTTCTTCCTATATAATAACTAGAACGGTGATTTGGCAATTTGCTCGTCCATTGGTTTCTCACAACCTGACTGATAGAATATCTATCACATTTTACATTCGAATGGAGAATGAGGGAGAAGAATTTCATGCTCTGAAAAATTAGTCTCATGGTTGTTCTAATACAATTGATTTGGACACTCGAATGATTTGATCCAAGTGCATGCATTCCTCCCATTCCATTCCATCATTCATTCATTCATTCATTCATTCATTCATTGATTCATTCATTCGAATTCAAATTCAAACTGATCGAAGTGCATGCAATGTGCAGTGCAATTCTATCTGCAACAGCACATATAACTCGCATCTGTGAGACAAGACAAATTGACTCCACCTCATTTCTTTCCACATTTTCTTCATTTTGCACAGGTTGACGAAAAAGAGAAGAAGGTGAGATGATCTGCATCAGTATGTTTGTTCTCATTCAAATAGCAATTTGCCCATCATCATTATTCACCTGACCGACGATCTCGCACAATTCCCATCATCCTCTCTTCTCATCCCAATTTGATCAGTCCCGTAACCCACAACGAGCATTTCCTATTCGCATTGTTCTTCCCATATAATAATTAGAACGGTGATTTGGCAATTTGCTCGTCCATTGGTTTCTCACAACCTAACTGATAAAATATCTATCACATTTTACATTCGAATGGAGAATGAGGGAGAAGAATTTTATGCTCTGAAAAATTAGTCTCATGGTTGTTCTAATTCAATTGATTTGGACACTCGAATGATTTGATCCAAGTGCATGCATTCCTCCCATTCCATTCCATCATTCATTCATTCATTCATTCATTCATTCATTCATTCATTCGTTCATTCATTCATTCGAATTCAAATTCAAACTGATCGAAGTGCATGCAATGTGCAGTGCAATTCTATCTGCAACAGCACATATAACTCGCATCTGTGAGACAAGACAAATTGACTCCACCTCATTTCTTTCCACATTTTCTTCATTTTGCACAGGTTGACGACAAAGAAAAGAAGGTGAGATGACCTGCATCAGTATGTTTGTTCTCATTCAAATAGCAATTTGCCCATCATCATTATTCAACTGACCGACGATCTCGCACAATTCCCATCATCCTCTATTCTCATTCCAATTTGATCAGTCTCTTAACTCACAACGAGCATTTCCTATTCGCATTGTTCTTCCTATATAATAATCAGAACGGTGATTTGGCAATTTGCTCGTCCATTGGTTTCTCACAACGTAACTGATAGAATATCTATCACATTTTACATTCGAATGGAGAATGAGGGAGAAGAATTTTATGCTCTGAAAAATTAGTCTCATGGTTGTTCTAATACAATTGATTTGGACACTCGAATGATTTGATCCAAGTGCATGCCTTCCTCCCATTCCATTCCATCATTCATTCATTCATTCAGTCATACATTCATTCATCCATTCGATTTCAAATTCAAACTGATCGAAGTGCATGCAAAGTGCAGTGCAATTCTATCTGCAACAGCACATATAACTCGCATCTGTGAGACAAGACAAATTGACTCCACCTCATTTCTTTCCACATTTTCTTCATTTTGCACAGGTTGACGACAAAGAAAAGAAGGTGAGATGATCTGCATCAGTATGTTTGTTCTCATTCAAATAGCAATTTGCCCATCATCATTATTCAACTGACCGACGATCTCGCACAATTCCCATCATCCTCTATTCTCATTCCAATTTGATCAGTCTCTTAACTCACAACGAGCATTTCCTATTCGCATTGTTCTTCCTATATAATAATTAGAACGGTGATTTGGCAATTTGCTCGTCAATTTGTTTCTCACAACCTAACTGATAGAATATCTATCACATTTTACATTCGAATGGAGAATGAGGGAGAAGAATTTTATGCTCTGAAAAATTAGTCTCATGGTTGTTCTAATTCAATTGATTTGGACACTCGAATGATTTGATCCAAGTGCATGCATTCCTCCCATTCCATTCCATCATTCATTCATTCATTCATTCATTCATTCATTCATTCATTCGTTCATTCATTCATTCGAATTCAAATTCAAACTGATCGAAGTGCATGCAAAGTGCAGTGCAATTCTATCTGCAACAGCACATATAACTCGCATCTGTGAGACAAGACAAATTGACTCCACCTCATTTCTTTCCACATTTTCTTCATTTTGCACAGGTTGACGAAAAAGAGAAGAAGGTGAGATGATCTGCATCAGTATGTTTGTTCTCATTCAAATAGCAATTTGCCCATCATCATTATTCACCTGACCGACGATCTCGCACAATTCCCATCATCCTCTCTTCTCATCCCAATTTGATCAGTCCCGTAACCCACAACGAGCATTTCCTATTCGCATTGTTCTTCCCATATAATAATTAGAACGGTGATTTGGCAATTTGCTCGTCCATTGGTTTCTCACAACCTAACTGATAAAATATCTATCACATTTTACATTCGAATGGAGAATGAGGGAGAAGAATTTTATGCTCTGAAAAATTAGTCTCATGGTTGTTCTAATTCAATTGATTTGGACACTCGAATGATTTGATCCAAGTGCATGCATTCCTCCCATTCCATTCCATCATTCATTCATTCATTCATTCATTCATTCATTCATTCATTCGTTCATTCATTCATTCGAATTCAAATTCAAACTGATCGAAGTGCATGCAATGTGCAGTGCAATTCTATCTGCAACAGCACATATAACTCGCATCTGTGAGACAAGACAAATTGACTCCACCTCATTTCTTTCCACATTTTCTTCATTTTGCACAGGTTGACGACAAAGAAAAGAAGGTGAGATGACCTGCATCAGTATGTTTGTTCTCATTCAAATAGCAATTTGCCCATCATCATTATTCAACTGACCGACGATCTCGCACAATTCCCATCATCCTCTATTCTCATTCCAATTTGATCAGTCTCTTAACTCACAACGAGCATTTCCTATTCGCATTGTTCTTCCTATATAATAATCAGAACGGTGATTTGGCAATTTGCTCGTCCATTGGTTTCTCACAACGTAACTGATAGAATATCTATCACATTTTACATTCGAATGGAGAATGAGGGAGAAGAATTTTATGCTCTGAAAAATTAGTCTCATGGTTGTTCTAATACAATTGATTTGGACACTCGAATGATTTGATCCAAGTGCATGCCTTCCTCCCATTCCATTCCATCATTCATTCATTCATTCAGTCATACATTCATTCATCCATTCGATTTCAAATTCAAACTGATCGAAGTGCATGCAAAGTGCAGTGCAATTCTATCTGCAACAGCACATATAACTCGCATCTGTGAGACAAGACAAATTGACTCCACCTCATTTCTTTCCACATTTTCTTCATTTTGCACAGGTTGACGACAAAGAAAAGAAGGTGAGATGATCTGCATCAGTATGTTTGTTCTCATTCAAATAGCAATTTGCCCATCATCATTATTCAACTGACCGACGATCTCGCACAATTCCCATCATCCTCTATTCTCATTCCAATTTGATCAGTCTCTTAACTCACAACGAGCATTTCCTATTCGCATTGTTCTTCCTATATAATAATTAGAACGGTGATTTGGCAATTTGCTCGTCAATTTGTTTCTCACAACCTAACTGATAGAATATCTATCACATTTTACATTCGAATGGAGAATGAGGGAGAAGAATTTTATGCTCTGAAAAATTAGTCTCATGGTTGTTCTAATTCAATTGATTTGGACACTCGAATGATTTGATCCAAGTGCATGCATTCCTCCCATTCCATTCCATCATTCATTCATTCATTCATTCATTCATTCATTCATTCATTCGTTCATTCATTCATTCGAATTCAAATTCAAACCGATCGAAGTGCATGCAAAGTGCAGTGCAATTCTATCTGCAACAGCACATATAACTCGCATCTGTGAGACAAGACAAATTGACTCCACCTCATTTCTTTCCACATTTTCTTCATTTTGCACAGGTTGACGACAAAGAAAAGAAGGTGAGATGACCTGCATCAGTATGTTTGTTCTCATTCAAATAGCAATTTGCCCATCATCATTATTCAACTGACCGACGATCTCGCACAATTCCCATCATCCTCTATTCTCATTCCAATTTGATCAGTCTCTTAACTCACAACGAGCATTTCCTATTCGCATTGTTCTTCCTATATAATAATCAGAACGGTGATTTGGCAATTTGCTCGTCCATTGGTTTCTCACAACGTAACTGATAGAATATCTATCACATTTTACATTCGAATGGAGAATGAGGGAGAAGAATTTTATGCTCTGAAAAATTAGTCTCATGGTTGTTCTAATACAATTGATTTGGACACTTGAATGATTTGATCCAAGTGCATGCATTCCTCCCATTCCATTCCATCATTCATTCATTCATTCATTCAGTCATTCATTCATTCATCCATTCGATTTCAAATTCAAACTGATCGAAGTGCATGCAAAGTGCAGTGCAATTCTATCTGCAACAGCACATATAACTCGCATCTGTGAGACAAGACAAATTGACTCCACCTCATTTCTTTCCACATTTTCTTCTTTTTGCACAGGTTGACGACAAAGAGAAGAAGGTGAGATGATCTGCATCAGTATGTTTGTTCTCATTCAAATAGCAATTTGCCCATCATCATTATTCAACTGACCGACGATCTCGCACAATTCCCATCATCCTCTATTCTCATCCCAATTTGATCAGTCTCTTAACTCACAACGAGCATTTCCTATTCGCATTGTTCTTCCTATATAATAATTAGAACGGTGATTTGGCAATTTGCTCGTCCATTGGTTTCTCACAACGTAACTGATAGAATATCTATCACATTTTACATTCGAATGGAGAATGAGGGAGAAGAATTTTAGGCTCTGGAAAATTAGTCTCATGGTTGTTCTAATACAATTGATTTGTACACTCGAATGATTTGATCCAAGTGCATGCATTCCTCCCATTCCATTCCATCATTCATTCATTCATTCATTCATTCATTCGTTCATTCATTCATTCGAATTCAAATTCAAACTGATCGAAGTGCATGCAATGTGCAGTGCAATTCTATCTGCAACAGCACATATAACTCGCATCTGTGAGACAAGACAAATTGACTCCACCTCATTTCTTTCCACATTTTCTTCATTTTGCACAGGTTGACGACAAAGAGAAGAAGGTGAGATGATCTGCATCAGTATGTTTGTTCTCATTCAAATAGCAATTTGCCCATCATCATTATTCAACTGACCGACGAACTCGCACAATTCCCATCATCCTCTCTTCTCATCGCAATTTCATCAGTCCCCTTACCCACAACGAGCATTTCCTATTCGCATTGTTCTTCCCATATAATAATTAGAACGGTGATTTGGCAATTTGCTCGTCCATTGGTTTCTCACAACCTAACTGATAGAATATCTATCACATTTTACATTCGAATGGAGAATGAGGGAGAAGAATTTCATGCTATGAAAAATTAGTCTCATGGTTGTTCTAATTCAATTGATTTGGACACTCGAATGATTTGATCCAAGTGCATGCATTCCTCCCATTCCATTCCATCATTCATTCATTCATTCATTCATTCATTCATTCATTCGAATTCAAATTCAAACTGATCGAAGTGCATGCAATGTGCAGTGCAATTCTATCTGCAACAGCACATATAACTCGCATCTGTGAGACAAGACAAATTGACTCCACCTCATTTCTTTCCAAATTTTCTTCATTTTGCACAGGTTGACGAAAAAGAGAAGAAGGTGAGATGATCTGCATCAGTATGTTTGTTCTCATTCAAATAGCAATTTGCCCATCATCATTATTCAACTGACCGACGAACTCGCACAATTCCCATCATCCTCTCTTCTCATCGCAATTTGATCAGTCTCTTAACCCACAACGAGCATTTCCTATTCGCATTGTTCTTCCTATAGAATAATCAGAACGGTAATTTGGCAATTTGCTCGTCCATTGGTTTCTCACAACCTAACTGATAGAATATCTATCACATTTTACATTCGAATGGAGAATGAGGGAGAAGAATTTCATGCTATGAAAAATAAGTCTCATGGTTGTTCTAATTCAATTGATTTGGACACTCGAATGATTTGATCCAAGTGCATGCATTCCTCCCATTCCATTCCATCATTCATTCCATCATTCATTCATTCATTCAATCATTCATTCATTCGTTCATTCATTCATTCGAATTCAAATTCAAACTGATCGAAGTGCATGCAATGTGCAGTGCAATTCTATCTGCAACAGCACATATAACTCGCATCTGTGAGACAAGACAAATTGACTCCACCTCATTTCTTTCCACATTATTTCCATTTTGCACAGGTTGACGACAAAGAGAAGAAGGTGAGATGATCTGCATCAGTATGTTTGTTCTCATTCAAATAGCAATTTGCCCATCATCATTATTCAACTGACCGACGAACTCGCACAATTCCCATCATCCTCTCTTCTCATCGCAATTTGATCAGTCTCTTAACTCACAACGAGCATTTCCTATTCGCATTGTTCTTCCTATAGAATAATCAGAACGGTAATTTGGCAATTTGCTCGTCCATTGGTTTCTCACAACCTAACTGATAGAATATCTATCACATTTTACATTCGAATGGAGAATGAGGGAGAAGAATTTTATGCTCTGAAAAATTAGTCTCATGGTTGTTCTAATACAATTGATTTGGACACTTGAATGATTTGATCCAAGTGCATGCATTCCTCCCATTCCATTCCATCATTCATTCATTCATTCATTCAGTCATTCATTCATTCATCCATTCGATTTCAAATTCAAACTGATCGAAGTGCATGCAAAGTGCAGTGCAATTCTATCTGCAACAGCACATATAACTCGCATCTGTGAGACAAGACAAATTGACTCCACCTCATTTCTTTCCACATTTTCTTCTTTTTGCACAGGTTGACGACAAAGAGAAGAAGGTGAGATGATCTGCATCAGTATGTTTGTTCTCATTCAAATAGCAATTTGCCCATCATCATTATTCAACTGACCGACGATCTCGCACAATTCCCATCATCCTCTATTCTCATTCCAATTTGATCAGTCTCTTAACTCACAACGAGCATTTCCTATTCGCATTGTTCTTCCTATATAATAATTAGAACGGTGATTTGGCAATTTGCTCGTCCATTGGTTTCTCACAACGTAACTGATAGAATATCTATCACATTTTTCATTCGAATGGAGAATGAGGGAGAAGAATTTTAGGCTCTGGAAAATTAGTCTCATGGTTGTTCTAATACAATTGATTTGTACACTCGAATGATTTGATCCAAGTGCATGCATTCCTCCCATTCCATTCCATCATTCATTCATTCATTCATTCATTCATTCGTTCATTCATTCATTCGAATTCAAATTCAAACTGATCGAAGTGCATGCAATGTGCAGTGCAATTCTATCTGCAACAGCACATATAACTCGCATCTGTGAGACAAGACAAATTGACTCCACCTCATTTCTTTCCAAATTTTCTTCATTTTGCACAGGTTGACGAAAAAGAGAAGAAGGTGAGATGATCTGCATCAGTATGTTTGTTCTCATTCAAATAGCAATTTGCCCATCATCATTATTCAACTGACCGACGATCTCGCACAATTCCCATCATCCTCTCTTCTCATCGCAATTTGATCAGTCTCTTAACCCACAACGAGCATTTCCTATTCGCATTGTTCTTCCTATAGAATAATCAGAACGGTAATTTGGCAATTTGCTCGTCCATTGGTTTCTCACAACCTAACTGATAGAATATCTATCACATTTTAC